TAATGGTATCGGCACTGGTATCGGGGCCGGTGTGAGTAAACTGACTGGTGATGTGACAGGTGTTTTAAACGGAAATGAAAGTTTGATTGACCATGCTGTCGATTTTGTTGCCGGGGGTGGGGTCAGTGGTGCTATCGGTACGGCCGTCGGTACGGGTGTCGGCGCCGGATTGAGGGAAACCATGAGTGGTGTGAAGGGTGCGTTAGGCGGTGAGGACACTATGTTAGGCAAAGCTACCGGAGCTGTTACGGGAGTTATTGGAAAGGGAGCCGCGGTTGGTGATAAAGTTTTGAATACTGGTGTTATCGGGGGTCTAATAAATGGTGACCTTGTTAAAGGTTTGTTAATTTAATATATTATACATTATCATAATGAATTATAATTAATATAAGCTAGATAGATTTTAATTTTAACTTTTACAGTATATTAGATATTACATATTAATTATTCATATATTGAGTTATCTATATATAATTTAAATATTTTTATATTTAATCTAGGTGCCTATGGAGCCGGAAAAGATTTATTTGGAAAAGTAACAAGTGGTGGTATGTTTAATTAATAATAAGGATTGAAAATAAAAATAATCTAGATAAATATGATTTATTGTTATTTTTATTAAATAAAACACCGAAATATTGTATACAATTTTAATTTCATAATTAATCTAGGTGCTTTGGATGCTGGCAAAGGTTTAATTGGGAAAGTAACAGGTGGCTCTGATCAAGGTGGTTACTGTGCAGAAAATCCTCTTGGTGATACTGTAAGTGCTGGCACTGGATCAGGTTCATATAGTGGTCAAACCGGTAGTGTTTTTGGAGGAAATGGAGGTTCATTAAGCTTTGGATTCAGATAAATGATAATGTACTAATCAGAATTTAACTTGTTAAGTTTATAATAATTAAAATTTTAAAATAGTGGCTTATATATTATTTTTAAAAACTTTATAAATGTTTAAATACTTTAATTTTAAAATTTAAAATTTATATAATAATGTTTTAATAAAAATAAAATTATAATTTCATACATAATTGTTGCATAATTTATATATACTCGATAAATACAATAAATATAAACTTTTAATAGTTTCTAGAAAATACAACAAGGGTAAACCAAAAATAACACCAAATATTTAATATGTAATACTGTGCGATATTTTTGAAAAATATATTCATAAATTATCTGATGAATTAATAAATTAAAACAATCATTATAATTTATTTTATAAGTTATAGTTATACAATATACTTTTACAATTTGAAATATAAACTTTATTTAGTATAATATAAATATATTTATCAGTTAGTTAATTAATTAGATGATTTTACAATTAATTAATAAATTAAATCTACCGTTGACCTATGCTTTTTAAATAGGTTATAGGCCTATATGCATAAAAACTTGGTAATAAGCAGTGTTAATCATTTGGCTAATATCGTGCTTGCTTATCATATACTTGAAAAATATTTATGACTAACGCTTATAAAGGTACAAATAACTAGTGTTGAAAAACTGTATTAATCTATTAATGAATTGAAATAGGTGGAAATAATTTGTGTGTAGGTGTACAACATAAAATAACCAAAGTCCACATAATGAGAAATTTTTCCGTGTGATTTATGAATAGTTATTTA